GCCTTGAATGATTGACTATCCCTGCTATTTGCAAATCAGCAGGCAGTCTGCTGGCAGATTTACCTGAGTATTTTCTCAAATACAGTAGTTTTGCACAATGATTCTACCATGGTGGTTCTTGTGCTTACGTAAAAGATCATAAAACATGAAAAATGACAGAAACTGACATATTTTTTGCATACTCAAGTGATTCTTTGTCAAGTGGAACAAGGGGTAACTTAGCAAACTGATCACTGCTCTTTGACACACACAATGGCAGTGAAATAATCCTGAAAAAGGCACTGAAGGTCCTTTCAGTGCAGTGGAGCATGGCTACTGTTTTTAGCTATGGTTTTAGAGTGACTTCTGATGAATGAGTTCCAAGTCCTCATCAACTGGAATTTTGAAATTCTGTCTTAGTCCACTAGATGGTGGTCCTTTTAATCAGGATTCAGGTAAAAGAAAATTACTCAGCCACAAAAAAAGCCGAGCACTAGAGTAAGCAAAATAGAAAAACCTAGTTATAATATGGTGTGATCTATATCATAATCTATAGACAAGTATTCCAAAATACATTTGAGAAATTGCTTGAGCATAATTGTGGCATTTTCTCAGCAATACATCCATAGGATTTGTGAGACTCAGTGACCAAGAGACCTAAACTTGATCTCACTCTCTTCTGACTGCAAGAGTTGCAACTTCCAAGATGCCAACACCTTTTGGAAGCTGATAATGACAACCTCAGCAATGGTTGATTATTTGAGGCTACCTTCAATGCACATCACTCTAACATATTTAATTTTCTGCAGAGCACGGACAAAATTCCATAAGTAATATTAACATAAAACAAAGTCTTAGGGTACAGTAATAGAAATGTTTTATTAATCAAATATATTTACATTTCTTCATCTTCTTTTTGTGTGTGCCTGTTATTTTCATTTAAACACAATGTAATCTTTACATTTGATATCACAAGAATACAGCTACATGCATGACTTAATTGGTCCTTTACAGTAAAAAAGAGGCAATTTAATGAAGTTTAAAAAATGCAAGCAAACTGTTGATCTTTCTAATTACAGTGTCATTATTATTTTTATTACAACACAGGACCCCTTCAGCATATTCTACATCTATAGGGTGGATTTATGGGTTTTTTGAGATTGACTTGATGATGTCGAAACTTCCAAAATCTAGGAAGAAAAAAAAAATTTAATGGAGTCCCAGAATATTATATTTTCTGGAATCTTTCCACAGAAAGGACTTGCAAGGAACAGAATAGCATTCTAATTGTAATTCCTAAAAAACGAGAGCAACTTAATTACTCTTAAAAGCAATGAAGACTTAATATTGGACATTCACTTATTTATTTGTTTGAAATCACACTGTTTTTTCAGCTATAAGACAGCATCACATAACACAATGGCACCATACAAAAAAAAATTTAATTTAAAGGAGAGATGATGTTACCAAAAGTATAAGTAAAGTAAAAAAAGTAAAATAATTTCTTGTAAGTTTCTAGTATGTAATGTGCTGTAATTATTATATTATTCCCAATTCAAGTTTCTTTCATGGGAAGAAAATAAAATTGTATTTAAAATGATCATCTTTAGGGGCTATAAGTACGTTTATAAAGGACCTGAAGTCTTTCTGAAAGGTATAACTCTATGAACATATAAAATTTAATTCCACACTGAAAAAGAATCAGAACTAGGCACAACTTTTAAATATGATTTCCAACATGTTCAGGGTTGGACAAAAAAAATTAAAAACCAAAAGCTTGTATTTTTTACCAGACTACAAAACAGAGATGCCAAGTGCTTCAGAAATTCTGAAATGGCAGGCACATAATCACTACATTTAAAGATAACTGAATTACACTTACTGCTTCAGATTACTGTGTGCAAACACATATTGTATGCATAATAGACCTAAATGTACAGTTCTGCTGATACATGAATTGAAACTCACTCAGTATTTGGGAAGTCCAGACAGGAACTGAATTCTGTTTAGTTCAAACCTAGAATGTATTTTGTGTTCACATTGGTTTTACATTTGCCATACTGTAATAGAATGCCAAATGTGGTACTCAAGAAAATGCCACTATGGAATCATGGGTTTTCACTGTATTGCTTTTGTATGCTGCCAAATGTGTTGTTGTGAAAATACAATGTATAAAATAATACAATAATTGAAGTTGTCTTTAGGCATATGGAACAACATAGTGGTTTACACTAGAAAGAATTATCTGGAAGGAAAATAAAATAAGTTCTGCAGACATACTACTCTAGTGCATTTTTTTAAAAATCCAATAAAATCTTGAACAATTGACCTTTACTTCACACCCATTCAGAAGAATACTCAAATGTTTTCATTGTTTAAATGAAAACATACAAGTAAGCCTACCTGCAGTCAGCAGGGAACTTGCCATTTCTGTAAGCACATACTTAGGCACTACTTGCACTACATGATTCAAATACAGTGGAGTCTCTTCACTGCCACAAACCTCATCCCTGACCATGGGAGCAGGGTTAGATAATGCAGCAGCACAACTCACTGATCTAACATAGCTCACATTTGCTTTTCAGAGCATGACATTTTCCCACTTACTTCATTTATAAATTTTCTGATCTCTTGTTCTTTGTTTAACTGTTTGCTTGCAGAAATGATCAATAGATACTGTTCAAATAGTTAACTAAAAGTTGGTGCCCCTCCAGAATGTTACTTTACATTAAGTCACTTAAATAGTGAAAAATGTGAGCTACCAGGCATGAGTGTTTGAAAGGTTTAGGATTTTATTTTGGTTTCTTCTGTTTCATTAACCTTGCTAGAAACAAAACACTGTTCAAATAGTCACCTTTAAGTTACAAGTCTTCCTACCCAGCTTCCCATGCTTCTTTGAACCTAAAAGCAAACAAACAAACAAACACATTTATATAGTAGCTAAGAGTCTCTCATAGTTTTGAGGATAGAATCAGGCAGGTGACAGAATCGCTCACTCCCCATACCTCTGCACTCAGAAATAGAGCTGAAAACTCATAGGAATAAACCTTCTTTATGAGATAATCTGGTATTTGCTAGAACAATGATAAAAAAGTCTTTTTTTCCCCATCACAATTTTTACATTTCAATGGCCAAACACAAATACTCCTGAAGTAATTCCCTGCAAAGCTTTGGAAACTCCAGATTCTTCAGTGTAGTTTTTAAAATATAATAAATGAACACCATGCAGTATGGATGTCTTAGCTTTTAAACTCCTTTTAAATGCATTTGAATTTTACTGTAAGCTCTTTTTCTGCTTGAGCTCTTTGCAGAATTCATAAATGGTCTGAACCTGGTGTCAAATTTGTAGCTGATTCTGTCTAGCCCTTTACAGAACTGGATACTTTATTCTCTACATATTTAAAATCATCCCCATAAATGTGTTTAAAATATTTAATATAATCAACTGAGCCCTTATGAGCTACTCAGCACTTCAGTTTTGGTGCAAAACTGAATTAATCTATTTTAATCCCCATATTCTCCACAACTGTATTTTGCAGTATTACCTTACGATAAAGCATGACCTCAGACTGTTTAGGTTCTGCTTCTTGGTGGTTGTGATTTTGTTTCTTTTCTTTTAATTTATTTTCTTTTTTCTTTTTCTTTTTTTTCTTTTAGTTTTTTTTTTCTGTTTTTTTTTTCCTTTTTTTAAACATTTTTGTCAACCTACTGCTATAGCATTGAAACAATCAATATATAAACAAAAGCCGCTGGTTTCTAGAAGTGAAAACATAATTTGATTAGACAAAATCGTGAAATCTGAAATACATCATGGATAAAAGCATGGGAAAAAGCCAATATGGAAATTGTTAAATCAACCCAATGTAATGACATCTGAACTTTTTACATTTATATTGGGAATATTTTGGCTTTCCTTCATTCACTGTACCAGGCAAATTTCTATGAAGTGAATGCTATGAAGCCTCCAAGAAATTGATAAAGTATCTCTATTCAGATCTATCTTTTATTTTAAAGCTCAGCCCAACGGTACTGAAAGCTTCATCTAATACAGGAGCATTTCCAATTTGATCCAGATAACAGACTGAAAATATCAATTGACTATAGTTTGGATTTCTGATTGGTTTTCCTAGAACATTAAATCAGTTACCCAAACCAAAAGTATCTTCTCGGTTTTCTGCTCCTTGTAATATTATTTACACATGGACTGGAATATTTAGTGTTTAAAATACTTTTTACCACCTCTGTCTTTCATAGCTATTAAACTGAATTTGAAAGTTCTATTAGTTTGACACAGTTTTCCTACTTGTTTCTTTGTATAATGTATATTTGCAGATATACAACATTCCATTTTTTTTACTATTTTTTCTTTTTGTTTTTGTTTTTTTTCTTTCCCAGAATATCTATGGCAATGCCAATGCAAACTATTTGCATGAAAAAGTGCACACAGTGTGAGGCATGAGACTATGGAAATGGAATGCCCTTTGGTCTGAGGTGGCTGACACTGACCCAGGTATAGCTCGTGATCACTTTCCATCCCACACAGCAATTTCTATTACAGCCATGTCAAGATCAACTTAGCCCAGCCCAGCTAAATGTACAGATTACATCTGGGTCCGTTGAGTCATGCTACAAAAAAAGGTGCAACAATAAACAAGTCCATGTGCATTCTCAGTCATAACTATGAGCAGAAGAACCCTTGAGACTCCTCACTTTGGCATTAAATAACAATTATAAAGGCTTTTAGAATTAAAGCAATACATGAAGGGACTTGAAATGTTAACAGTCCCAAGTAACTTGTCAATTGAAATAAGACTCATCCCTAGTCATAAATAAATAATCTCTTTCCTGGTCTCACTTCCATGCCAGGATCAATATCTCTTAACATCTTACTTATTTTATTACTGCTTTTGGTTTTCTGGGACTGATTGAAAGTTGCTCAGAGGAAATCTTTGGTTTTGCTTAAGTGTCCGTGACATTTAATCATGACTTTCCTTGCAGTTTAATTCCAACCAGTCAATCAGTTAATCCACTTCAATTGATTCTGTGCTCTCTGTTATTGGCTTGCACTCATTGGGCATCCTCTGGTGTCGACTCAGCTGGGTGGCTTGTGTGAAGCTCCTCTCACACCTCTCGCACCTGGTGAAGGCAAGAGAGAAAATTGAGACCAGGGAGCTGCTCTGGGGGGGGGGGGGGGGGGGTGATGGGCTTTGTCTCATCCTGCTTAATCAGAACAGACACTCAAAAGTGGCTTCAGATTTTACTGGCTCAAGAGGTTTAATTGGTGGCTACTTCCAAGGCCTTGATGCCTATGATGGGACAAGGCCTGTCTGATTCAGAACAGAGGAATCTGTCAATAGACAGGGGGAAGGTGATTTCTCCAGAGAGGCCTGTCCTGCTGTAGCTCTGATCACTGTCAGTTCAAATAGATAAAGAACAAAAAGAGATTTTTAGGAGTGAGCCATCAAAGAGGCAGCTGGTCTGCAGTTTTCTGCTCTGCATCCCCTAAGAGAAATTGATGACAAATAGAATTTCACCTTCTGCTTTTTTAAAATCCACAATTGCCTATTGGAGGATGAGAAATCACAAAGCAGTAATCGTTCAGTCCTAGAACAAGAGAAAACTCTTTGTTTATCTGATCTGACCATGTAGTAGGATTCATTTTTAAAAGGCACATAGAGATGCAGGCGTCCACACTATTTGCGAAATCTGTGGGTTGAGCAAGAACTCATAACAGCCATCAGTGTTGCTTCGCTTTTATACTGTTTCCCTTTCTACCCTGTTCTCTCTTAGAAAACCATAATCTGCAAGAAAAATATTGCATGAACAAATGAACAAAGCCATTGAATTCTGCAGAGGATAGAATAGGGGCCATGGTTGCCTTGGAATTAATCCCTTATCCCTGCTCTAAAGACACGCTACTGTATTTAATCTCCCAAATGCTGCCTTCTTGATTATCATTCTGAACATTAGAGAAGGGTTTGATGAGTCACAAACATGGATGGAGCAGATCCTTTCTGTATGGTGCTTGCTCCAAAAGCCATCTTCATTTTAATGGTACCATGTGATGTCTTATCTCCAAAAAAGATTTTCATAAAAGTATCACTGCAATGAATCGTTCACCTTCAAAGGAGAAGTGAGAAAAGCAACGGACTCAGCTAATTCATTTAATCTTTCTCTATCATGTGAATGATAGAAAGTGAACTGTCAGTGATCTGCTTATTAAAAAAAAAAGAAGATATTTACACACATGTATAACTGTGGATATTCTTCACATTAATAATTTTTGGGGATAAATTTCTGCTTCAGGACTATTTAGCACAGACATTACAGAGTCATTCATCCAGGTTACTGTACCAATCTAAAATGTCAACACTTTTAAGTTGTATTTCCTTGATTGTCTTTCATGGAATATTTTTAGCATCCTATGCCACTGTTAAAAACTGCACTGTGATCTTGACAAATGTAAAATGTCAGCTTTAATGTATCAGACCTATCAGCTCAATGAAAATAACTCACAAGTATTGATTACTTAATGATTTTTGGGGTATTCATTAACGTCTATGTGCAGATCATCCACTCTCCAGAGCTCCTGAAGTGCTGATGACACATTAGTGCACTGCTGATTGTTTATTAGAAAACTGATTACTTACTGGATTAGTGTGTCAAAATATACTACCTTTCATTGCCTGACAAACTTGCAAATTATTGTATTATTTTTATATACATACATATATATCTATCACAGAGGCATTATAATCAATTTTAAGGCTGGGGGGTTAACTTAGTCTGTATGAGATATTACTGTCTACTTGAACTTGATAGTTTGGTTATTTTGATGTCCACAAAGACAAGTACTTTGCTTGATGAGTAATAGGAGGGTTGGATCCTTGCCTAACTAAGCTGTAAGTGATACAGTTGCAACATAACCTATAAAATCAGGTGTAGCAAGCCCTGATTTTAAGACCCTGGCCAAATAAAGGAAATATGGGCTAACAGGATGCCTAGGGCACCGTTATAGTGACTTAGATGATGGCTATAGGGTGATCCAAAGACAGTGTTACCCACCAAAACCATTTGCTGTGGCAGGCCTCCTTGTCCTTTCTGGGGCTTGTCTGGGAGGCTGGAATTGGGCAGGCATTCACTCGGCACCTTGCATTGTTAGTGAAAGTGCACAGCAAGGTTTACCACAGTGCTTTAAAACACAACTTCCCATCCTTCATCCACAAGATTCCTCTGTTGTAGGAGTGCTCTACCTTCCCAGCTACAGGCTGATACACTAACATCAAGCACAGGAAAGAGGGATGCTAAAGAGAGAACAGAAAGGGGGTAAATCTCTTGATACAAGCACCTACCCTTTATGAATAGGAAGGCTGTGGGTGCCAAGTGTTGCTGCTGGTCAAACTGTGATGTCTGCATTTACACAGCCCTTGGGCAAAAGTCAGAATAAAGCCTCTGACAAGGCACTTAATTCCCCTGTCTTTCTCTTGTACCTGGATAACCTTCAGATATTACCCAAGGTGCCGGGGATTTTCTAGGTACTTCCAAATCATGTGGGTGGTGTTTTCACGACCATAGTTTTGGATATATAAGTACCTGGCTTATGGGCAGAGATGTGTATTAGGCTCCTGATTCCTCTTTTCAATGTGGTCCAGAGAAGTTGTTGCTGGATACAAACTGATAGAAAAGGTGAAGATAATAGTGTCACAGCAGTCAGCATTACTGTCTCACAGTAGGTAGGAATGGGAAGAAGAGCAGGAATATTTTTCTTCTGGATTGTGATGTACTCTAGCAACCATTCTTTCCCAGCCCATCATAGCAGAATAACCACTTCTATAAGCTCTGCCCATGGGATTGGTGAGTTTTCATGTGCATGTTCCTGTATGTAACCCAGACGTGTTTAATGCTGTGTTGGACAGTTGAACAGTGGACAAAATTGTCAGAAAGGAAAAAGACTCCATAGCTCATGTGTCTGCACACCAAGCCACTATGGGACTGAGCCCAAGCCTGAATGATAGACACAACAAATTTTGGCTAAGCCTGCACTGTAGATACATGTATTGGCAATAATGACACTTACTAACTGGGATACATTAGGGCCATCTGATGGCATTTGAATGGAATTTAAACGGCCCCACGTGCATATAGGTCCAAAGCAATTCCAAAGTCCTCAAACAATTAGACACCATCAGTGAAAACTGGATCCATGTTCCCTTCTTTTACAATGTCTGTGTACACTGTAATTGTAAGGAGCAATGTCCTAAAGCATTCAACCTCCTCAGCCTCAAGGCTTCACTCTTCCACAGGGTTTCCTGGAATGATTTGCTTGGGTGGAGGTGGTAAACAGAATTGTTCTTAAGTTCACAAAGTGCACCAATAGTCCTGGGATATTTCTACAGTACTGGGGTTTCTGGTTTTGTTTAGATAGCCCTCATTGTTACTGGTCTGCTTGTTTGCTTCACAGTGCTTTCAAAACATTGACAGTGAGGATTGGTTTAATTTGCACTTTTATGTCAACCTCTGTGAAAGGCTTTGGGTGGAGAAAATGCTGAGGGCCTATTTTAGAAAAAAAGACATTAATTTGATACTCTCAAAATAAACATTTTAAGATTTCATTCAACAAGTACGTTTTAAACTCCTTTGGAAGGGTATAAAAAATCCAAGAAAAACTATCAACCAAAGAGAATCCCTCCTGACAACTCTGAGATGTCACTGCAGTTACAACGTACATATTCAACCTAAAATGAATGCTGACCACTTTTGTATTTCAGTAAGTAACAATGTAAAATATGTGAGCTGTTGGAGGCTGAAAGAATCTTTCCTCTTCATTATTTTGGATTGACTGCTAAATATTAGGTCTTTGAATAAGCCTGATTCTGTAGGCAAATGAAAATAGGGAGGGGGTGAGAAAAAATCAGGAGAACAGAGGTGACAAATAATTTTCCCTTTTCTCCTGCATTTTAATTTACTTAAGATCTTTGTTCCCAGACTAGCAGCCATAGTGGAGACTTCAGTAAGATAAGAATACACAAAAACATTACAGTGGTGTGGCTGGCTTGATAGCTTGTGATGACATGAAAAGTCAAATTCAGCTAAAGCTTTGACTACAGATAACCTCACTTAGCATTGTTATCTTAATGAAAAGAAAATAGAAGAGTCTTCCACAATACATCCAAATTTACCTAGAACCTACAAAGAAAATGGCCTCTCACAGTAAAAGCTTTTTAACCAATCCCAAACATGCTCTCACAAAACAATTAATCTAAAATATTTTTGTAAATACTGTCACCAGTGTTCAACATTTTTAAAATCAGCTTCTGGAAATAATATGCATACAAACATACTTAGCTTTTAACATTGCTGATTTAATCCATGCTGAGTGTAATTTGTCTATAACCACATATGAAAACAGCTGCCCTATTGCATTAGTAATCATGAGATTGCGTTCACAGCAGAAGCACCTTCAAAATTATACCTGTTATTTTAAAATAACTTAGCTAGAATTAGACAAGTTATTTTAAATAAATTAGCTATAATTTAAGTAATTTATCACTACCCATGCATGGCAATTCTTTCTAACATTAAAATATTAGTTAAAAGAAGTGCGTACATCACCACAAATACAAACTTCTCTGAGGTACAGAAACACTGTTTCAGTTCGCTTTTCTGTCTTTTTTTTTTGTTATTGTGTGTAATTGTATACTCAAAATTCTCCATAAACAAACATTTAAAACCTAAATTGCATGATCAATAGACAGATATTTTGTTTGTTCTATTTATGGTTCTTGCTTAATAGAATTTGTTGAGGGCCTTTTCCTAAACTTTCTTAATATCAGATCTTGTGCAACCCTTTTCCAAAGGAGGATCCAAACAGTGATGAGACATCAAGAGGAGTTGCAGCTCTTTCTTTTTTCTCCATCAGAGATGATAGATTGATTTCTGGATAATTTTCTGCTCCTCCTCTCTCAAATGCAAGTAGTCCTGCATGAGAGACAAATCTGCCCTTTTGAACAGCTTGCAGCATCAAGGCTTGTGTGCCCTTTTATCTGACTAGCAGGGATGGGAAAACCTGCAGCTCCAGTTTCAGCTTCACATGAAGTTACTAGTCAGCTTAGTGAAAATACTTCAACAGGACTTCCAGAGAGAAAATGGTGCTACTGTTTCTTGTGCTCGAGGAAGAAACTAAAGAAACACCTTGCACAGTTGAAATTATGCCATGCATCATAAAGAACCAGTATAAAGTATACATTTTTTTGTTGTTGTTGCTCTGTCCTGCAACTTAAGGAACAGTCAGATACATCCTGGAATACTTAAATGCTTCCACTTGAGCAGGGCAGAACATAACAAACAAACAAACAAACAAACAAAAAAATCAAAAAGCCAAAAAACCCAAAAAAACACCCACAAAACCTAACCAAAACAAAGCAAAACAAAAAACAAATCCCAGACACCTTGTTAGTTGTATTACATACATTAAGCTCTCTCACAAATGAAATTGTGCTGTAATCAAGTCCATTTTTGAAAAGGGTAAAAAATTAGTATACCAAAGGGGAAAAATAATGACTCTAAATTGGGCAAAATAGCAGATCTATTGGAAACATGACAAAAAGAGGACGTTAAGGAAAAAAATTAAGTGGAGTCAACAAGGTTACACATAAGTAACACCTTAACATTAAACGAAATCTATTTTCCATTTTGACCCGGAAACCCCTTCCATTAATTACTAAAATCTATTTACACAGCAACTAGATAAAATCAATCTGATTGCTCGCACCACTTTTGGCTCACTTTCTGTGGGCTCTGAGCATTCCACAGACTGGCTCAAGAGAAGTCGATATTTAGATGTTCTGAGCTTCCACAACATCTTAGCCATGATTCCTGCCATGCCAATTCTTCTGTACTGGATCTGCAGCATTTTGCTCCTGGCTCTGCCCCCTCGCCCCCAGCAGAGACATGTCTGCAGGCTGTGCTTCCTTCCAGCCTTATATGGAGGCAAAGTGTGCTCACCAGTATCTCTGTGGGGCTGTTACGGGGGGTTCTGACAGGCTGAGCTCCCTTACACTAACCAGATCAAAAGCACTGTCTGGCAAAAATAGGGAAAAAAGAGTCAAACAGAGAAAAGTAGAGAGAGAACAGACAGTACTCGGAGAACTGGGAGAGACACACACCTTCTACACATATTCCCCTTCCTCCTAGGAACATCCAGGAAGCTTCCAAAAGAAGTGATATCGATACATTAGGTGGAATTGCTCCAGTGACCACATATATGTACTCTGAGCCTGTCAGTTCAGCCAAGACAAAGACACAAACATGGGATATATTTCTTCTGCTTTGGAGAGCCCTTCCTCTTTAGTAGGCAGAGTCTTGCACAACAGAAGGTAAAATATCAGGATTAGCTGTACTATTGCTGGAAATGAGCACTTCTGGAAGATTTCTGAGACAGGTATGTGCTTAGCTTTAATATCAGTAATTGAAAATTTCAGAAATTAACAAAGTTTGTCTAATGTAAAATCATCTTTATTAGGTGACATTTTTTTCTTATACTTTAGACAGCTGAACACTTTCAATTAATTACTATGATCTTTCAAAACTTATGCCACAGAGTTACATTTCCTATTCAGTGATTCTGAGACTAAAAGGAGGTGCATATTCCTCCCCATATATAACTAGAGCCAAATTAGCTTTTAAGTGAAGCTCCATCTACCTCAGCATATAGACATCAAAGCATCATATTAATGTTCTTACAACATGGCCTGTCTCAGTCTTGATCATATTTTCAGCTGTGGTTCTCTGGCAGCAGCTTGTTACTTAATTAAAATAATCAAGGTATCATTAGAGAACAGAAGATTGTGCAAGGGCTTTCAAGAAACTCAAAATCAAAGCCAAATAAATTCTGATTTTAACAGCACCACTAGCTGTTTCACCTCATTGTCACAGACATCTTTTTATTAAAATCCTTTCGTTAGGATTTTTCCTGCTGAAGCTGAGAAGTTTCAGCAACAAAGTGTAAGCAATGGTTATCTGTTGCTGTAGAATGCAACCGGTAGATCTGTGATTAGACTCAGGTGGATGTTTAGATTTACTCACCACTCAGGGCAGAGCTAAGTCTCATTCTCTGCTGAGACACAGACCTTTGTAATTCATTCCTTTTCTATTCTTAGCTTAGCTAACCTTCTGAGAACTTTCTCTCTATTCTTTTTAGTATAGTCATAATGTAATATATATCATAAAATAATAAATCAAGCCTTCTGGACATGAAGTCAACATTTCTTGCCTCTCTCTTCATCCTGCAACCCCTGCAAGCCCTGTGGCACCTCATGGTCTGACCCTGGCTTTCAAGGGATCATCAGCCGAGTGCTGGCGGTGCTGGTGAGCAGCAGCAATGCATTTCCCTCTCTAATCTCAGCTGGCAAAAGCCGCTGGCCTCAAGTACTTACTTGAAGGGCTTTTCCCCGGTGTGCGTGCGGATGTGGTTGTTGAGCGTGGTGGCCCCGGCGAAGGCGCGCCCGCAGTAGCCGCACTTGAAGGGCCTGTCGCTGGAGTGCGTCACGACGTGGTTCCGCAGCTCCGAGGGCTGCGAGAAGGACTGCGAGCAGTGGCCGCACTGGTAGGGCCTGCGTGGGAAGGGAAACGGCAACGTCAGTGCTGTGTGTTGGCACCAGCAGGAAACCACACAGGACGGGGGCTCCTGATCTTCCCAAGGGTCTCCAAAGAGAAAAGCGGGTGCGCTTCTCTGGGTCTTTCTTGGGAAGCGCAAACCCAAAAGTTCACAACCTCTTTAGCAAATGTGAAATTCTTGGGCAGGAATTAAAAGAGAGTCTATGGGACCAAAAACCATAAATCGGCAAACTAGTGAGCCTGCAGTACACATCTGCTTGCCTTAGTTCTGTCAAACTCGACAGTACTCCTTAGTCAAAGAAAAAAAGATCCACACACATGGAGCTGAGGGACTCGTAATCCTCTGTCTGCTAGTGTGAACTACAGCCTTACTTGCAAATGCATATCTGATGGTTGTGTGCACATCCTGTCGTTATTCTGTAGCTATTCACAATTAAACTCCTCATATTGCTTTGGAAGATTTTAGAGATCACTTATTTCAATGAGAGGCTTGGAAAAAATGACTGCTGTATTAAAATTATCTTTCTATTTTCTTATTTCAGTTGAAAATCTTTACATTTCATTAACACTTTTTCTCCCATCTAGATTGAAAATGTCTGTTTTGGGGATCTTAGAAGGAAACCCAGAACTCAGGTTTTCAACAACACATCTTGTTAAAAATAAACATAACAAACAAACATACAAAACTGACTGATATGTTACAAATTCAGAATCATAACAAGCAGACTGCAAACACAGAAAAAAAAGGATACACAACAACAATGTGAGACTGGTCTTCTGAAATGGTAACTAAAATAAAATGCCAAGAAAGCATGTCTATATATTTCTGTTCAATAAAATTGGCTTTATATCAACACCCTACTAGGGGTTTTTTTCTATTTCACATTTGTTTTAAGTTAGTAGCAGAGTCCTAAATGCTTATCAGACTGCTTGCTAAGAAAATTAAGATCTTTTTTCTGGAGGGATAATAATGATTTTTACCATACACAACATTTTAACTCTTGGTGTCTGCGTTTCCAGAGCCAATGGCCCACACAACTTAATTGCTCTCTCCGTAATAAATGTATATGTTTAAATAGCTAGAAACCAAATCTAAAGGGAAAGAGACAATGGTGACCAGGCATGTACAATTCAATTAAGTGCAAAATAAAGTGAACTATCTCATTTGTCAAGTGAACTGCTTAATTGTGGCTACTTGCATCACTGAACACAAATACTATTATTTTACAGTGCTTCAGAGCACTGAACCCTGATTGTAGAATTTTTTAGCTTGATTAATAGCTCAGTATTCATCAATAACTCAATAGCTTACAATTTTAATTACTTGCATTTGAAAATCTAACTACTCTCTAACAAGTTTGAAAGTAAGATATGAAAGCTGTGGAAAGGTAATTTAGATGATGTGGCCCTTAAAAATACACAGAAATATGTAAGATAATATTTAAAAAAACAAAAACCAAGAAAGTGTTTTTCTGTTTCTCTTACTGAAAGACAAGTAGTAACTTGTCCAGTTTTCACCTTTCTTGGAGTCTGAAGTTAATTTGCACAGAAAATATTTATCAAATTTGGTAAGAAATTTCAAGAGTTGATAAAACAGAGATAATTGGTGAATGCAGTAATCAAGCACTTTTAAGCAAAATAAAGTAATAATATATTCTGCATCCAAGAAACATTGATTTTTTTTATAGTGAAGGAGACCATTAACATCTATTAGCCTCTGGTTATCTATTTTTAACAGCAACCACAAAAAATGATGCAATGTGACATAAAGCAAATTATTCTTTTTATTTTTTAAAACGATAAATAAATCAATGTTATTAACTTAATGCAGTGAAAATTCACACTGCAACTTGTCTGTAAACAGTCAAAATTTCAAACCAGATATAGGTGAACATTGTCATGGCAAACAATATGGGTTCATTGCCTCAAAATAAATGTCTTCTTTACAAAATACTCGGAATATACTTCACTGGCTTACACTCAAGTAAATCATCCCTGCAAAAGATCACCAATTGTTAGATCACTTTGACTCCATTTTTCTGATTGATCCACATCTTGAGAGAAAAACTGTTAAAGAAGTTACCCTTCTCTTTGCAGAGGATGAATTTATCCAATTTATATCCAAGTAATTCTAATTAATGCTAAGATGCCTAATTTTTTAAAGGTTAGATAAATGGCATACATTAGGCAAAATTAATTTTAAAAGGAGAGCCTAAAAATGCATTAAAATACTGTAACATCTTAAAAATGCTCTAATTTGCACAATTGCAGATTTAAATATGCCAACTTCTGACAACTTTTGGACGCTACTATTTTTCAAAGAGAAAAAAAAAAAATTACATTCAATAAGTACAGAAGTTATCATTCTGTTCTCTGGTAACAATTTTCCTGTGCTCGGAATTTTTTTTTTTTTTCTTGGAAGAAGATAAAATCAATATGTTATTTTTCAAAAAAAATGAAAGTGGTGCTGAAGGCCTGAGCAGGAGCTGTGCTCGGTTCAGTGAGTGCATTGACATGGGCAGAGCACGCCTGCCTTTGATGCAGCAGTTGTGTCTTCTGCCATCACTTTTGTCTGCATTGGGACAATGAGTTCAGATGGTGACCTCGCTATAACAGAGCTCTGCAGACAAGGAGGAACAGCAACAAAGGGACAGAAATGTTGGTCCTCGTAGGCTGTGCTTTCAAAAATCTGCTGCTGAACTGAATGCACTGGCAGCTCAGAAAAACTCATTTCCTTGGAATAACCAACACATGAATTGTACTTTCCTGAGCTTCACAGTATCCACGTGAATCAAAATCTTACCAGATCGTAATTTTAAGTTACAGTTAAGAGCAGCTAAACTGATTACAGCCACGTGCAGATGAGAGTGATGTTCTGACAATCATCAAAAGTAGTTCTAATGTTTTTTATAGAACACCTAGTTACATAGGAGCTTTTAGCTCCACATCTTTCTTTTTGAGCTTAAAGAAGGGAAATCTACTTACCCAGAAGAAAATTTTCCTGTTGGAAAAATTTTACACTGTTGTTATTAATCCCATGCATCATTGATAAGCTGTCTAGGTGTACTGACATTCAGAATCCACCAGCTTTTTCTGGAAACCTTAATCCTACAGTCTCTGACTTTATGATGGCCCATATAGGAATATAGGCCATCCAAACTGAAATTCTGAGAGCAATTCTAATGTAATAGTTTTCAGGTTTTGTGGTAATTTATAATTTGAGCTTTTCCAAGTTGTGCAAGACACATTTTCCAAAATTAAAACACTATGGAATAAATTTTGCTCTCTAAGCTAGACAATCTCTTGAATGATTTTGCTCTTTGGTGAGGTCTTTTCCTGTCTTAAAATTTCCTTACTTTGCAGCTGATATTTTTCTGGGTGAAACCACATCATGTATGGGATCAGTAAAAATGTCAGGCTTCCCTATAAGGCTTACTGAACCTCACCAAAGCTCATGCTTTGGGCAAGAAATGTAGAACCCCTAATATGTACAAAGCACGTTAAGAGACTAGAAAAATCCATATGCTTTCATCTGAAATAGCTACTGAGAGACAGCTGTACATTTAGGTTAATTCTTTCTAGATTTTCGTTTAGCAAACCTGACATAGCTTTATTTGTCTTTTACTATTCCTCTGTCAAAAGAATATATTTTCCAAATTCTGACTCCTAAGTGTATCTAAGTGTTATAAATTTATTTTCTACATCATAAACTATTAACTCTTTGAATTACTAGAACCTTAGAAAATCCAATCATTATTTTCCACTGCATTTTCAAACTATTTCCTTTATGATTATATATGTTTTTAGTCTGGCCTTGTCAGAAGTGAATTTGCTCTTTTCAAGGGGCATATGGAATTCTAGTGTAATCTTAGAAATTTCTTGTAAGGGCTAGTTCCTGAATACTTGTAACTTTGCCATTGAAACTCAGCCCAGTGAGACGAAATAGCACAGCACTGTATCCTTTTCCCTCAGAAAGAGCTGGAAAACACCATCTGAGAGATTGGCATGTGATTGAAAGTGTTTTTCTCCCTGTTGATGACTAAGAAGTAAAAAGCCAGCATGATCATAGAGTTAGAGAATGGTCTGTGTTGAAAGGGACCTTAAAGACCATCTTGTTTCCAACCCCTTGCTGTGGGCAGGGACATGGTGAAATATGAGTCTCCTCAAGCCAGGTCTCATGAGCTCCTGGAGATCTATTTCACACCCAAGATGGCTCAGCTACCTTAGAAGGCATAAAATCAGCAGGATGGCTTCTGTGGCAGTGTTGGAAACAAAAACTTTTTAATAAAAGGCAAAATAAACAAAACTCTTTGCAGAGAAAAACCGAACCAGGTGCAGAAGGTCCTTGCCCCCGGTAAAACCCCTCACAAAAGCAGTTAGTTTATTTTTTTTCTCTTCTTTTTCTAGTAAATTGTGGCTCCTGTCCAATTAGCTATCCTTAAGTCTGAGGTGAAGACCCCCGGGTCCTATGAGATGTCTTTTCACCTAATTGAGGAGAGAAACTTCTGTGCTTATTTCCTTTTTAAGGGGACAAAGGATATTTTTGTCACTCCGTCAAGTGGGGGCACATTCCTATAGGACATCCTCCACTCAAGACCCCATCCTATTTGGCCTCGATCATTCCCAAGACAGGGCATTGACAGCTTCTCTGTCAATATTTCAAGTCTGTCTCATTACCCTCATACTAAAGAATTTCTTTCTTACATCCCATCAAAATTTACCATCTTTCAATTTAAAGCCATTATCCCTTGTTCTGTCACTAAATGCCATCACAAAAAGTCTCTCTCCAGATTTCTTGTGGGCCCCTATGTGTACTGGAAAGCTCATATAAGGTGTCCCTGTGCCCCTCTTTTCTCTACCCTGAACAGCCCAAACTCTCTCAACCTGTCTTCATGCCCCTGATCATCTTTGGGATAGTCCTCTGGACTCTCTGTAGGAGATCCACATCCTCCTAATGTTGGAATCCCCAGAGCTGGATGCAGTGCTCCAGGTGGGG